GCACTCCTATGGTTTAAGCAAGCCCCGCAGAGGCACGAGAACCGGCCCATGGGTTAACCTTAAACCTCTCCCTTGCACTTCCACAGTGAAATAGAGACATGTTTAATCCTTCTAATATTAAAAAAAAAAAAAAAATGTTGAGCATCGCACAGGCGCCAGCAAGTGTTAAATAGCATTTTTTTTTCCCAGGGATGTTTATTTATACCTTTCTAAAAACTCTTTAACCTTGTACAAGGGACCAGTAGCCAATGTTTGCTTTGGAGCTTTCCAGTCCTACACAAACACATTGGACTGACAGATTTTAGCCCGGGGTGGAAGGGGTTTCCCACCCCGCTCTCTCCCCAAATATGCGTGTGTTTTGTTTTGTTTTTAAATCGTCACAATTCATCTGTCCATTCCACTAGTTAAGAGTTTAAAAAAATCCAAAAAACTAACCCGATTCCTCCATCAATCAAGTAGAGCCGCCCAAAAAGAAAGAAAAGAAGTTACCAAGTGTACCTTACACGTGGTAGTAGAGTGGGCCTGAATTTCTTCCCCGTTGCCCCAGTTGTACACCAGTGTAACTCCACTGACTTCGGTGCGGTTACTCCTGATTTACCCCCTTGTAAGATGGAGGGGAATCAGGCCCGTGTCTGTACCAGAAACTGCGGGGATTGGGTTGGTTTTTGTGTGTTTTTTTTCCTGCATTAGCCTCCAAGATGACTGCGCTGGGTGAAGACCCCGTGCCCTGCACAGGGAGAGCACCATGCCACCAGGCATCTAGACTCTGCCCAGGAGACAGGGATAAGCAAGCAAAAAAGGCGATGCAGATGTTTCCCCCTCACTCCAAGAGAGAGGGCGGTGAGGCTGGCAGTGGTAGTGCCCACACCCCAGCGCCGATCTCTCCTGGAGGGGCAGGGAAAGCCCCCAAGCCTTCCCTTCCCCAGACTTCCCTAAGGAAAGCCTTGGCCAGGGGCTGGGACGCACACAACTCATGCTAGTGATGTCCCGATCCTCCCAGCGTCTCCCCTGCACCCAGCTGCCTTCCCCAGGCTTGGAGAGCCCAGGTCTGAGCCCCGGGGCTGCCTCCCAGCGCCTTGGGCATCTCTTGCTGGCTCAGGGCTGGGTCCTGCAGGACGGGCTCAGCCTGGGGCAGAGGTGGCTCCACGTGGAAAAGCCAAAGAGAGGGGAAGGGAGTGGGGGGCAAGCCAGGCAAGCCCCAGCCTCCTCCCCCACCCCATCCAGTGCCTGAGCCAGCAGGGAGGGTCACTTAGAAAGAGGGGACTTGGGAAGTTTGACAGCGTGATTTGAATAGGTGCCATGCCAACTTCTCCCTGGAGCAGCATCCCGCTGGAGGGGACAGCACAGCTGGATCAAGGCAGGGTTGGGGTGGGGGGGAACCAGGGAGCAGAGGTGCTGCCTACCTGTTGGAAAGGCATCCTCAGGGCGCCCATGTTCACGTAGGGGGCCACTCTGCAGGCGTCTAAGTGGCTCGCCGTGCCCAGGATCACACCTGCGGGGACACACGAGGAGCAGGGTCAGCGCGCCGGGCTCGCCCCGCCGCCTCCAGCACCCGCCGCCTCCCGCACCCACCTTTGTGCATCTGGTTCTCCTGCTTCCGGCACTTCGCCCTCCTGTTCTGGAACCAGACCTGCCGGCAACGAGCAACAGTCAGGGGACATGCAGTGGCAGTGGTCGTAGTAGCAGTAATAATAATAGCAAGAAGAATGATGGTGATGATCACAATAATAGTGATGATAAAGGCAATGGGAATAATAATGACAGGGATGGCAATGGCAACAATAATGAAAACGATGGCAATAATAATGGCAATGGCAATAATAACGACAGTGATAATAGTAATGGAAATGACAATAATAAGGAAAATCGTGGCAATAATAATGGCAATGATGACAATGGCAATAATAATGCCAGTGATAATAATAATTGCAACGATGGCAATGGCAATAATGACAGTGATGGCAATAGCAATAATAACGACAGAGATAATAATAATGGCAGTGGTAACGGCAACACTGGCAATGGCAATCATAATGGCAATGATGGCGATGGCAATAATGACAGTGATGGCAATGGCACTAGTAAAGGCAATAGCAATTATCATGGCAATGGCAATTATAATGACACGGATGGCAATGGCAAAAATAATGACAGTGATAATAATAATAATGGTAATGATGGTGATGGCAATAATGACAGTGATGGCAATGGCATTTATAATGGTAATGTTGGCAATGGCAATAATAATAGCAATGGCAACAACACTAGTACTGTAGTAGTAATAATAATAGTGATGATATGGAAAGAAGGGACACAAACCCGAGTAGCGATCCCAGGCCACCAGACTTTTATGGAGTGCATGTAATACACACATACACGGACCCACGGGGCAGAGGCAAGTGGCAGCACTGAGCACTGGGTAGGGCTCGGGTGATTATGACTCTCAGCTCCCCGGATGGCTTAGCCCAGAGGCTTGACACCAAACCAGCCGAGATTCCTCTTCCGTTGAGACCCTCGGAGTGCTCGAGCCCAACGCAGTGGCCCTCGGAGCCCTCTGCCTGCCTGGAAATGCCCTTCTTTCCCAGCCCTGCGAGGCGCCCCTGTGTCCCCGAGCCTGGCACTCACGCGTGCCACCCGCCAAGGGGGAGCGTCTGCCACGGCTGGGACAAGCCCTCAAGTGCTCTTCCTCGCAGCCTGCCCCTGGATGAAGGCGGCTATCGCTCCGTCCAAGGGAGCCTCCGAGGTTTTGTCAAACTTCTATGCTCAACTTCCAGCCCATAAAACCAACTACCACCCGGATTATCTGCTCCGGTCTAAAACTTCAGTTTTATGGGGTCTGAGAGGGTTCAAGGTCTCAGATAAAACAATCAATCCCAACTCAAGCAAATGGACTGAATCACTAGCCAGTACATTAATTGGGGGGGGGGGGAATGCTCCTACTTTTTCTTTTCCGAATATCTTTACTTTCAGACAACAGCCAAACCTTTCCAAATTTGGACTTAAAGTATTGTTTACACAGCCACGAGAAGGAACAAAAAAAAAACTGTCTGTAATCCAATAATCCTCATCTAATCCTGGTAATTATAAATTAGATGCCCAAATTTCAGTTGCCCCTGTATTTCTTTGCCCCCCCCCCACTTTTTTTTTCCAGGACATTTCAAATATTTGAGGTATTATTACACCTCCTCCCCTTCCCCCTCCCCTTCTAAAATGGCTAGTTGAATACATCTGGTCAAATTAATTCATTATCAGAGGTTCCCGATAAAAAATGTTTTGCCCAGGCTTTTTCTAACTCAAAACCTAGCAGCTGCGGACAAACATTGACTTGCAAGGCTGATAAAATCTTGTAGCTAAGTAAACACTTGCAACCTTTGAAGTTCTTACACTTGCCAAGTGATCATACGGTTAATTAATACTAACTGCACTTCCTACATCAAATTTTCCCTTCAAGCTTTCTTCAATTGCCTTAATGATGGTCATTTACAACGGAGTAATTAGTGCAAAGAAAGGCTTCCAACGGCATTAATTACCCAGGGTACCTCAGTGATTTTCTTAAGTAGGAATTGGCCTTCTCTACTCTGGAGCACAATTCTTCCTGCTCAGGTTTGCCAGATGATGCCATGCATAATACCGAGCATTTTGCATCTCAGAAGCAGAGCAAGCCCTGAGCTGTGCAGCACTGTGGGCCTGGCTGAAACCTCTAACACGGATCCCTCAATAGCACGACCTTTCCCTGTGCTAATAAAACATCTGTCTTTCAAACCCGCACCAGCTTGTCTTCACGTAACTGTCACTACTTCCTTGAAATATATATAGAGATCAATCACATTTTTCATATCAAAAGTGCAGAATATTAAACATTGAAGCCTCTTTCCCAAACTATTACAATTTGCAGGGATTTTAAAAGGAACACCTCAAATATAATGTTGCAGCGGGGGATGGGGGGTGGGATTTGTCTTTGTCATTTTTAAAGCAGTGTTTAAACAACTTCTTTTGCAAATCTCAACCTCTCTCAAACAGAAATTACATTTAAATCTGTAAAACGAAGTGCCCTTTCCCTTTAGCTATGAAAAAATAAGGTTATGAGGAATAAAAGTGATGAATTAGCCACTGCGTTAAGCGATAATAAATCAGGCTCGGTGTGATTCACGATCAATTCCAATTAGTCATGAATATGCTAAGTAAAGCACAGTACACTGTTTTAGACAGTTATTTCTTCATTAAGGATCACTCAGTGATTTCTTTCACAAATGCTCTAATCTGATTTCCTTTTGATTTCCATTAGAGACAGTGAATAATGACATTTAATTTAGCCCTGCACCATAAACCCAAAGATATTTGTTGTAATTGAATTACTGCCTGCTCCTCACTATGGTCTCATAACTTTCAATTATAACCCTGACAGCTGGGTGATATGAGTTTCCAGTACAACACTAAAAATAAAAGGTTAATAAGGAGTAGCTACCATAGGAGCTTCAATTTATTTACAGCAAATTTCCACACTAAATTGAAACTATATCCTTTAACAACAAGGGACAGGCACTGCAGAGAGGGATTAGAAAACCATTCTGAAAGTATTAAAATATCCTCCTCCCCTCCTCCTTCTTTCTTTCTGTCCTCCCCTTCTTTAAATATTTGTAGACCTCTATAATTAATTACTTATTTCCCTCCTTTTTATTATTTCTATTTCCTTTCTGTTCAAGAATATCCCCCACTCTTTTTGAGCAGCCCTTATTTTAAAACAATCAAAATTGTGTCTTGCATACCATTCCCACCTGATTTTGTATTTAGTTAGTTAGTTACTTTGGGAGGGGGGGGGTAATGTTTCACGATCTGCAAGCACTTGAAGGGCCAGTTTTCCTGGAACTATGAACATCTTGCTAAGGTGCTGCTACTCAGTAATAAACTACTTGAAAGAAAAGAGTGCAGAATTCAATTACAAGTAATTTATTTTTATAGAAACAGTACATCAAGGCCCTGGAAAGATATTACAGAGCCAGAGCAAGAAGACCTGGGAAGATGACATAAGAGTTGATGTCCCCTTCAGCAAAAGTTTAATCTTTTCATTAATGTATATGGTGCGGATAGATCAATCTTCCGGGAGATGTAGGCCACGGGCCCTTTCACCCGCTGCTATATTCCCCTAGAAACATCCCTCTCTCAGGCATAAGGCCGACATGATCCCTTCCTCAGTCTGTTTTATACAGAAGAAAGACATCACGGCTGAGGAAAACTAGCTACCCTATTTATTTCGGAAAATGCCTGGAGGAGGCACTTATTTAACACTAGATAGCCACTTACTCAGACAGTTAAGTATTGAATAGATTTGGGAAGAGGAAGAGGGGAGCAGATTGTTCCTCTGTGCCTTTCAAACCCTAGAAGTTTATAATATTTAATAGGGAAAACAAAAAGACCTCCGATCTGGAAGTGTGAAAGCATTTCTCAACAAATAAAACACACACTTTCCCTTCAGAAAGAAGCTAATATGATCAAAAGGGAAGGATTTTTTCCCCCAACCCTTGGCCAAGAGCCATATAATAATTTAATAAGGGGCTTTCTTTAAATTTCTTTTCCTCGTAGTCCTGATTATTACTCCACAGGTTGATCTTATTAATTTTTTTTTTTAACATGACATCTGTTTTTGGAATGGCCTCCCCGTTTATTCTCCCCCCACCCCACAGTCTTGGCTGTCAGGGACAAAAGCTAAAATATCCTTAAAAATAGACACAACAAGAAGACGGCCTGGTGGCCACAAAAATATGCCAATAAAACTTATTTCCAAGGTTTATGAAATCACTTGGTTGTTGTTTTTTTTTTTTTTAAGTACAGGGGGGAAATATACCAGATGGAGTGCCATGAATTCATATGCTTGCTATGCGAGTCAGATGAGGGCACCTTTCCCCCGGCTCTGGATAATCCAGTCCCAAAGCACCCAGCCCGTCTAGCCTTAGCCAGGACAATTGTTTTCTGATGCTTTTTTATAACGTCCCCATAAAAGGAGAGGAGGGGAAAGGAGAAGAGGAGGATTAGACGAGAGGTTATTTACTGATTCGATGTGTTTGCTAAAGTAATTCATTCCGTTATTAATTAGATAATTGCAAAAGCGTCCCCAGTAAATGCAGCAAATGGGGGATCTTAAGGGGAACAAAATATGTTTAGCAAGACAAGTCCACTGAAATTGCCAGCCGTTTGCTATCACACGTGTCCCTTCTGCTCTGAATGCCAGGACGGTTCCAGGAACAGTGCCATAGCCTTTCTCTTACCTGAACCCTAGCTTCAGAGAGTCCCAGCCTCTGGCTTAGCTCTTCCCTCATGAAGGCATCTGGATAGTGAGTCTCATCAAAAAGTCTTTCCAGTTCATTCAGCTGCTCTAGTGTGAAATTGGTTCTGCTTCTCCTTTGTTTGAGCTTGGTCTGTCCATCTTCATCTTCTGACTTCACGTCTTCCCTCTTTTCTTTGCACTCGTAGATTCCTGTTGGGAAGGGGGAGGGAGGACAAGAGAGCTTTACTTTCATACCTCACAAAAGTTTATTTGCGCCAGGGACAAGTTTCTCTTTTCTTCCCCTTTTCCCCAAACAGGAGCTAAGTGCCACGAAACAGCATCCCTCCCCCCCCCCGCCACCCCCAGTTATATCAGGCACAGAGAGGGATCATAGGGAAAGGGATGGGGGCTCCTGCTGGGTGGAGAAGAATGTGATGTCCCATCCGATGGGTAACAAGACTGGCACGGAGTGGGGAGAAGGGCAGGACGAGGCCTCTCAGCTATCCTCTGAGAGTTACAATTTGGGGAAGCCGGCTGGCAGAGAAAAATGCATCTCCGGGGCCCAACGGACGCTGAGCCTCAGCAAGGGCTGCAGCGTCCGGCCACCACGGTGTGGCTGCACTGCAGAAGGTGCTGAGAAGCACCACAAGGACCCACTGGAAACATCAGGAGGATCTGAAACAACAAAGGCATCTTTAAGGAGAAGTGGGGGGGATAGTTTAGTGTGGGTCCCTTGATTACTTCCACTAGCCCAGATCTATTTTTAAAAAGGAAAAAAAAAAAAAGCATAACCGGGTCGTATCACCAGCTAGCAAGCGGAGGGCACGAAGGGGAGAGCCAGCAAAATCATGATGCTCCCGAGGTCTGAAAGGGGTGTAGGAGGGTCCTGCCTTGCTGTTGTCTCTAAGTAAATAGTGTTATGCAAGGCAGTGCCCACGGTAGCTATGGAGAAGCTCAGACAACATATTTTTCGTTGCAAGAGAAACTTTCCCTTGTACAGGGACATGGGCCCGAGCCGCTTTGCCCCAAATGACACCTGGAGGAAGCTTCCAACCCCCAAGCAGCTGCAAGCCCGGCTGGGGCAGGCTGACAGCTCTCCCGGCAACTCGGGGACTCACTTGGCTCTGGCTCTCGAGCTCAACCTCGATTTTTGCCCTCCTCTGGGCAAAGGAAGAGTCAGGAAGGTGCCCCTGCCGGGGGAGCTTGTCTCATCTGACATAGACCTCTATGGGCATTTACCCCGGAAAAATGGGGGAGTGGGAGGGTACAGAGCACTGCATTGTTTTATTCTTGGGGGGGGGGGGTTGTTTGGAGTTTTGTTTTATTCCCTTCCACCCCTTCGGTATGCCTGAAAAGGGGCCCAAACCCCTATCTGAAGACAGGGAATAAAAGGAGAGAGCATCAGATGGTGATGCAGCCGGCTCCAGCGGCATCTCCTCCATGCAGCCTGACTGCGCCTCCCGCTTGGCCACGGCAAGAGGCACTGGATTTGTGCGTGGCCCTTGCATCGGAGGAGTCCTGGGAAGTTCCCGTCTGTGCCTGCTCCTTTTGCTCTGCTGGACTGGAGCAAGGACCGCTATTCCGAGCGAATCCGGATTGCTATCCGCGCCCCTCCGCGCTCCCTCACCAAAGCGGTGGCGACATCTCCCATTAAAAAACGGGGCTCGATTAAAATCCTGCCGCGCGTGGGGTCTATAGCAGTGTCATCCTGGAAGGAGGTGGGGGCTAGGGAGCCCCTGGACCCAAATGCGAGTCATTACTTCTTAAATTCAAAGTCTGGCCGTGCAAAGCAGTGTCACTCCTCCTCCTACCTCCAAAGCGGGCTGATGCTCGACTGCTTGAAACTTTAACGCCCTTTGTCTAATTGGGAGGTGTGCGATTGTCAGGAAACCCCATTTAGTTCAGGCTAACAAAATTAATCCATACAGGGGTTTAAAGACCCTCTGCTCTTCGCGGGCCACCCCCCGCTTTTCTCCACTGAAGCCCGTCCATGGCCATACATGAAATATGAACTAGCATCTTTCGGTGGGATTTAAATAACATATTTAAATGAGTGAAATTAGACGGAGCCTTTGCATGAATTTAAGCTGTCAACAAGCGCCTCATCTCGTCCAACTCCTCCCTTCTACTCCTACCCCCACCCCTCTACATAGATTAGATAAACATACATGGCAGGATTTCGATACACATAGCAACACAAAATAAAAGGTTGGGGGGAGAGCTTTTGAAGAAAATCCAGTTTCGTTTTTTAAAAGACTTCCTCGGTGGATTAATCCTGCAAACTCTCTCCCCCATGCAGCATGGCTGGGCTGAAGAACTCCAAAATAAAAACAGGCAGTTGCTAAGCGAAATTAAAAAAAAAAAAGGAAAGGGGATTTCTGCTGCTAAAAAAAAAATACAGATCTCATCTTTATCACAAGAAGAAGAGTAATAGTAATAATATAAGGGTCGGAGCTCTGTGTTCACATGCCTTTCACCCGGCGTTATATTAAACGGGATCAAACAGTAGAAAACAGCTGAAAGCCTGGCTGTGGCTCACAAACCTATTAACTGGTTTTTATTACCCCGGCCCTGCCATTAGCCCCTTCTGGCAGCTCCACCTGTCTGACTTGCCTGGAGACACTTTCTCAACTTTCTTCCCCCCCCCCCTCCCCCCCCCCCAATTCTTTTGTTTTATTTTTTATGATTTTTTTTCCCCTGTGATTCTCTCCTCCTGCCAGTGTGCGCGCGAATTAAAATTAAAAAAATAAATACTAAGAATAAGCCTTGTGACACTGGCTGCTGGAGGTGGCAGTAGCCCGGCCCAGGTGAGGATGCAGTGAGGCTTAGGAAAGGTGTCTGGTCCCCACGCCTGGCTCAGGCCCCTTGCCGAGTGCCTCCCCAGCCAGGCTGCTTTCCTACAGATCTGGAAACAATGCACTGACCCGCTGATGGGGAGGGAGGAAGGAGGTGGGGGCATTTAAAAATGTCCAAGGATAGCTCCTTAAGGTTCAGCTTTCTCCCAGAAGCAGCATCCCGATGGCCCGGAATAGGAAGAGCAGGTCCTCGCATATATTCACGCTTCCAGGACAAGAGATCGCCTGGATTTTCCTACCCTCTGAACTTCTCCCCCGCACAGAGCTAAGGGAGCGGGGGGGCTCCAGATGAAAACGGGGAAACTCCAGTTCCTACTTTGGGATTTTTAGGGGTAACCCCAAGCCATCCAGCTACCTACACAGGGGAGCAGGAGATAGCCGGGGCCGGTGGCTGGTCGGGAGGCAGGGGCTGGAAGGGCTGGAGTTTCTCCCTTAAGTGGAAAGCGATGGGAAAAGCTTGCCGGGCCTCGGCGTGGGCAGGGGGGAGAAGGGCTCTCGGCCGCCGGCTGCACCGTGCTTACCTTCCGCGGTCCTGCCCGTGCTGAACTCTTTCAGCTTGTCCTTGTCACTCTCCACATGCTCCTTGAAAAGATGCACCGGGCAATGGTTGCTGCTCTCAGTAATGTCCTGCAGGTTCGTGTCAGAGTTTCCCAGCTCCCTAGATCGAGCCAACCCACTCTCCAAAACTTCCCTGTACGTGATAGTCTCCTTCTTGTTGCTGCTGCCACTGCTGCTGCTGCTCTCTTTGCTCTTCTGGTCAAAAGATTTGGATACAAAAGCTGTAAGTTCTTCCATGGCTGCCCGGTGATCGTATCCACAGAGATCCACTTGTTTTCAGTAGGAGATCTGGCCGCCCTCTGCACGCTTTTTTTTTGCACGTAGAAGATGGGCTGTATAGGGTTAGATCACTCCTGCTGTTATTTATGCCTTTCAATTTGAGATCACACTATTTATACATGGCTACCTCAGCCCAACCCCCAGCTCTCCCTGTCTCCAGCAATTACTGACTGCTCCATAGTCGCAGGCGGACTCCTAGCAGCTATCTCCCCCACCTCAGTCCAGCAATTGGCTTTCTTTTCATTTCATCACTGTTTGGCATCTTTGCACCTTGATTTAGGCAGGCAAAGAGCACACGCGAAAAAGAGAGAAACAGTGAGAGAGGAATAAAAGGGAGGGAAA